GTAGTGTTGGGAATCAGGTAGTATCATGGGTTTCTGATCCCTAAGATCTAATAAGGGTCACTAGCAAGAAATCCCAGACAGGCAAGAAGGCCTCAGAGCCCCCTATGAAAACCATTGCTTCACATCACCCTTTCAACATGCCTGACAAAAGTCAGATGAGCCTCACCTGTGTCCCGTAGCCTTTTCTTCTGCCTCATCACACCTGATCTAACTCCAGGCCCTGTGTCAATCTCAAGAGACTAAATATTTGTCTGTGGCTGCTGCACTGTCAGAAGAGGTACAACGTGGGACTGAGCTGCCCATCACTGTTCAGGGCTGCTCAGGTGTGAGTCAGAGCTGGTGAAGACCGTGCATGGGGGCACACACACACACAAAGACAAGGGCAGAAGAACACTTTTGTGGGAAGAACACGTCAGACTCAAGAGAAGCAAACTGACTTGCCCAAGATTTCAGTCTACCTAAAGTCACAACTGGGACTCAAAATCCATGTCTAGATAGCAACGCTACAACACAAAACACCAACCTCTCTTACAGCCCTTCACAAATAGCAACCTAAAAAGATCTCTCCCCTCTACTTGTGGAACAAGAAGAGCGATGAGCTGAAATACACGGCTCTTCGCTGGATTATTCACACAACTCAGAGCCTCCACGTTATCTGGGACACACACTCCACTTCCCTCTTCCTTCAGTGAGATCAGTCTCCTCAGTCCCCCCTAACCTGCCTTTCTGGGGAGTTGGAGGCAGGAGGTTCTCCATAAGGGAGGACAAAGCACATCATTCCTGGGTTTACCCGAGGACCCTCATTAGCCGACCTTCCCACATGATGAAAGATGTCACTCTTCGGTTTATATTCCCCAGTAGTTAGGGAATGTTGTCCTAGGTTGGTTTTTAGAGGGTTTGTTTTTCTTGTTTCTGTAAGGCTTGGCTACAAGGGGTCATCATATTTCAGAAAGTTCTCTAAGCCATTTTCCATGCACCCACAGGCGACTATTAAAATAATGGGAATGTTTTATAAACACCCTAAATAAACAAATACATAAAAACATAGTTTGTAAGTAAGGTAACGCTAACTTAGCTAAAATACAATGGAAAGTTAATCAGAATCTAAAATGAATTGTATGTCACTAGAAGTCAGTCTACAGAACATAGACATCCTGTAGATTTTAGAATTAAAACATTTCTATATGCTTTATCTATATGATAAATGATAAATGGCAACTTTTATAGTTCACCTTTATGTCCAGCAGGAAGAAACAGACAAAAAAATTCAGCATATATATGCTGGAACTAGACTGTTCTATCTCCATTATGTATAATCATCATTTCATTGGAATCAGAGTACACATAATCATTTTCTCTTTCCAAAGGCTCAATCTGTGTTAGAGGAAAAGGCTAGAATATGCCAAGAACTTTTAGAAGCTGGATCCATCTCTCTGTCCTTCTCCCTTCTGCCTCATCCACTGCCTGCCAGAGATATGGCCTCTCCAGTTACAGGTCTCATTCACTGCCCATATACCCAACCCTAGACCCCCTGGTCATTCCTGAAAACATATAAAGGAAGTTTCCAGAAGGGAAAAACTAATGGCCAGATAGGTGTTCTGTGTGCTGAGAAAATTTCAACCCACCAATGAATAAACACATGGAAGAAATGCAAATCGAGTGCTTAAGAATAAATTAGGGGAAGCCAGGGATGGTATTGCATGTCGGCAATCCCAATACTTGGGAGGTTGAGATATGAGAATCTGAAGTTCAAGGCCAGTCTGGGTTACCTAATATGACTCTTGAAAAGTTATAAATTGAGAAGTTCATTTTAAAAAAATTGGGGTTTTGTTTGTTTACCTTTTTTTTTTTTTAATGAAAATTTGTTGAGTACGCCGCCAGGGAGCAACGTGCTCAGCTGTAACTGGAGTACTGTTCAAACGCATGTGTTTTAAATGTGAGTCCTTAGCTTCAAGCATCTTGGGGGAAGCAGGATTTTTGACTCTCAGATGCAGAGGAGGGGAGATGGGCGGTGAATATAGAAGTATCAAGCCTTCTTACCTAGGCTGCTTCAGGCTACCCCAACAGGGAGGCAGACTCTGGCCTTGGCCTGTTCTCATAGCCTAAGATATTTATACTTGATTATCCTTAAAGACCTTGGGCAAGACAGGAAGGTCTCCAGTCAATTGGACTTAAACGAGCTGGATTTGAGATGACTGAAGAAATGGGCCGTTTGAGCTGCCTACACAGTCCACATTATTGACGCATAGAGACCCTTCCCAGAGCGGCATGCTATGAAAAGGTACTCAAAGGTCAAGCATTTGCACCTTTAGAACAGACAAGACTGTGAGCGTTTACAGGACACAGCATTCTCTCAGTAAGTGGTCTGATGACCAAACCAAAAAGAAGAGGTGTTTGTGTGTGTGTGTGTGTGCGCGCGCGCGCGCTTTCATAAATCAAACCAGCAAATGTTTCCCAATTAGTTCACAACTCTGCTAGGTGACTTGCAGTACAGAATTAAACTTTTTTTTTTTTTTTTCAAGCCGGAAGAATGATTTCCTTTCGAACACAGACGGGGTAGAAAAGCTCTCCCAGTCTAACAGAAATGCAATCGGTGCTCTGTGGCGGTTATCCCTCCTAATCATGTACCAGATTTCAAGCACTCTGAAAATTACTCTCAGGCAATTAAGCCTGTTAGATTCACCCCGTGAAGGAAGCAGTCCTTTTCGGGTGCTGCCTGTCCAGAACAGCTGTTGAAGTCCTAGCAGGGATAAAAAAAAAAAAAAGCCACGTGACACCTAAGCTCACAATCCAGTTCATCTATCTGCCAGAGATTGCGTGTGTATTGTGCTGATGCAAATCACAAGACGGGGAACTGAGTCAATGGCCAGAAAATGGGGCTCCATAACCTCAGTGTACCTTGGAACAGTCAAGACGATACACAGGGAGCTCGGGTGTTTTGTGTAGCCCCCTGCAGGAGCAGAGGGGGGAGAAGAAACAAGGGCTAATCTGGGTCCCGTGGCTTTCCAACCTCCTCTGTGGTTCCTCTCCTGCCTGGCCTGAAAACCGTCTCTCAGACCTGTGCCTTTCTTCACGTGTCTGCATGGGTAAGCAACCTGAAACTCCCTCGCTTGTTCCCACAGTAATGGTATGGAGGTCCTGCCTCCTGCAACAAATGCCTCTCGTCTTTTAAAACGTTTTCTCGCCAAACAAATGGGAGAGAGTCCCGTGGGCCAGGACACACATCTTCATTGGTGGATACACAGCTCTAAGCAAATGACAGTTTCTCCACAAGCTGTGAGACGTCTTGCTGGAGTGGATCTTGCATTGTATTTAAAATTTGAAACTAATATTTGCAATATTACTATTATGTGCGGCCGATTCTGGGAAAGGGGTGCGCGCGCACGTGTGGAAGCCAGATGACAACGTTGTGGAGTTCTCTCCTTCCACCTTACCTGGCTCAGCTGGGACTCGGGGCACCAGGCTCGAGCGGCAAGCATCCTTACACACTGAGCAGAAGATCAAGTTATCAGAAAGAGTGGCTGGTGTCTCCCAGGATCCAGAGACAATGAGCTGGCATAGAGGCATGGTTATCAACAGCTTCATTTCCATACTTTTGTGTTCCCCGGTCCTTGGGGCCCCACCCCACCTCAGTATCTGCAGGGAGAGCAGCCTGCCTGCCACAAGCCAGGCTTGTCACCCACACCCCCACGGGGGTGGTGGGATGGGGGTGGATGAGGCAACACCCGCATAATCAGCATTTGCACACTTGCCAGGGCCTGATTGTGGGCCTCTCAGCCAGGGCATCCGAAGTGATTTGGGAGCAATTTCTCAGATTACACAGCCAGAGGACCTCACAGGAGTACGAGGAGCCTCCTGGGCGGCCACTTCCCAGACCTGTCTGCCCACCAATGAAACAAAGTACCCCTCACCAACATTTATGTCAGGCTGGCTCTTCACACATCTGTGACCTGGACCATTTTCTGTGCCCTCAAGTCCTGGAGCAAGAGGCATGCCTCTTGGGAGAGTGACGAACTTTCCGTGCAGTCCTCGAGATCATGGGATGGTACCGGAACTACCTAGGCCCCAGTCCATTCTCAGTTTTGAAATACGCCAGGTTAGCAATAGGTGGGACCTGAGATTTCTTGATCTGTCACTTGAGGAGCTAGGCCGCAGCTCTAGAATCACTCCTGGTACCCGGGGCTAGAGGCTGGGGACACAGGGACCAAGTCAGCAGGGCTGAAGGCCAGGGTTAGAGATAGCTGATCCGTGGAGACTTTGCCCCCGTGACCCAGCCGCTCTCTGGCCATCGTCGAAGACCAATTGGTTTACAAATAGTTATGATAAACCTAAGGTCTTAATTTCCCTTATGGAACCGACGGTGGAGCTGTGTAAATGTCTCCTGACAGACATAATGAAGGGTCATTAGCAGTACAAAGCCTGTCGGACCCGCAGCATTAGTTCAAGGGAATACCTCAGTGTCCACCGAAATTGCCGCGCATGTAAACCAATTTCCCCAGCAGAAGGGTAAACACAGACTCGTTTGAACCCCGAGATGAAAACAGATGGGATATCGCAAACAGTTTCCCAAAATACAACAGACTTCTGGGCTAATTACACGTGGTTAGCTCTGAATGGCAGAGGAAATGGTTTTCTTTGCTGCTAAATGTCAAGAGAGTCACCTAAAGGCTCAGAAGGAGGCCGCTTTGTTTTTTCGAAAATTGCTAAAAATTAATCTGTGCTGGAGCCACTTGTAAAACACGGAACAGGCCCCTCGCCCCCAGCCTGTTGCCGACATGCGACAGACTCCTAAACCCAGGGTAACCCAGACGCAGGGATGCTCTGCATCCTAAGAAGCCGCCCCGGAGCCCCAGATGGCACCGAGGAGAGGCGCGCACCTGCGCGCATCACCGCATCCCTGCATATGCGCATCTTCACATCCATGCTGGGCTGCTGCACCCCAGAGGCTGCATCTTGAAGGCACCAGGGGGCCTCGGTCGGGCCTCGGGCTCGGGTACCGGGTGAGGAGGAAGCACCCGGCTGGGTCGCTGGCTCCTGGCTCCGGAAGGCGCGCAGGGGCGATGCAGCAGGAGGCCGGGGCTCCAGTCCCTGGAGTAGCAGCGTGCAGGGTTCAGCGGTGTTTCGGTTGCCCTCTGACCTGACCCCGGGTCCACAAAGGCTTCCCGGCTGTGCTGCTATGGCCCAGCTTTCCAGTCGCTGCCAAATTAATGAGCCCACGTCAGGTTGGGTTTACAGCCCGGCCAGCCAAGCAGCGGAGTGGAAAAGGAGCCTGGGGCAGCTCGCGAGGCTCTTGCACGCGCGTGTGGAACGGCTACTGTCTTTTGTCATCCCCACCCCCACCCCCACCTCCGCTGGCCAGTCCTAGGAACCCAGGAAAGCTGAGCATCTTGCGGGTCCACTCTCCACTGCCAGTTAACCTCTTGTCTCCGGAGGGAAACAGCCTGGATCAGGCAAGTATGTTCTGTGAGAAATGCATCTAAGTCTTATTTACTGTGGTAAATAACTCAGACCCCACTTCAACATCCCAGCGAGGCAGGGCGTGCTTGACAGCGTATCTGGGCTGTGGGCTCCATAGACCTTCTGGGTCTTTTACAGCACGGTTCTTTGTCCTGGGCTCACCAGATTTGGGACTTAAGTTTGTGTTCCTGGGGCCACGTTTCTTCTAACTACAGAAGCCCCGGGGTACTACCAATGACCGTGCGCCTGGCTGGAGCAGGGAATTCTAGAAAGAGGATACCCAGAGGAGACAGTTAAAATCTGCAGGGAGGGTTTGAAAGCCAAAGATAAGTTGAAATAGGATTTGATATGTGTTTTGAATAAAATTGGACCTGGGGCTCCAGCTTGGCTCTGACTCTCCTGGTGCAGACAACGGTTCTGCTTTCCTATTGCTGTTTAAACTCGGGGGGGATTCCGTTCAAGAAAACAAGGACGAACCTTCAGGTGGATAGTGCTTCAGGCGCTGGTTGGTTATACCCTCCAGATTTTCAGACATACTAAAAGCAAACAGTTTCATTTTAAAAGACTGGAAAGATCGGAACAATTCCCCGGAAGCAGTCACAAAAGCCCCTCTTCCCGCAGCTTTGTTGGCTGTTGAGAACTCCAAACATTAAGAACCGGGACAAGGATACGACTGTTAACTGACTCCTGTGGCACTCTGTGTCATCCTTGCCCTTGCTCCAAGGACCTTCTAAAAGTGGAGGGCAGCTACTGACCTCTTCTAGTGGCAGGCACCGTCACCTTTCATAAGGTCCCACCCCTATTCCTCAGTTTCCCCATGTCTAGATCCCACTGGCACACACACACAATGTCCACCACCTTTATAAACGTGGCTGCCTTCCCTGAGCCTACCCTGCCCTATGAAATCTTAATGTCCCTACAAGGCCAAGTTGTCTTTATGATTTCGAGCTGTCACACCTCAGAGGAGCTAACTATCTCCAAGTGTACACACAAGTAAACTATAGCACGTTATAATTATCTTTCTGGGTGTTATCTTCATCAAGTACCAAAGATAAACAACTTACAAAGAGGATATAAGTTTATTTGGGCTGTGTTGTGCCCTGTAGCAGAGAGGTACATCAATCATAGTGGGAGCTTACAGTGAAGAAAATGCTTACCTCATAGCAGCTGGGAGGTAAAGAAAACCTGGTCCCATAATCCCTTTCAACGTCTAAATGTCTTGTTATGTGAGGGCCAGGATTCAAAGCCTGTGCACTGTGTTCCTCTCTCAAGCTGACGTCAATGGTGAAAGCAGTCAGTTTGTTAAAAAAAAAAAAAAAAAAAAAAAAAACACTTACCACTGTGTGGGTGCTTAGGTTCTAGTCTATGGATTTGGGGTTTGCAGGTACAAGAGGCCTGTGAAGGAACTATATTATTTCCCACGTGCAAGAAATATAGGCTCAGACAACTAGGTGGAACAGGCCAGTTTTATACCTCTCTTTCTTTCTTTCTCTCCGCAACAGTAGGTATTTAATGCCAGTTCTATACTCAGAGCCTGCCAGGTGATCTTGGACAGATAATAGGCACCAACCTGTGCTGAGGGCACATAAAGAAATATTCAGAACCATGCTTATCTCAGACACATACTTCATAATCACTGTAGTTCACTTCATTCTTCGTCCATGTCGTTCAGACCCGGTAGCCAACCCTTGAGGTCACTCCTACTGGGTCCCTCTTTCTGGTAGCCCCACTTTTACGATGTCCACTGTGATGTATAGCTGAATTCTATAAATAATAGGCTGATACGCAAATAGCAATGTGTGACTCCCGGGATTCGGTCATAGAGACCCAGTGGCTTCTGCTTGCTCTCTTTTGACTCACTCCCTTGGGGAGAAGCCTGTCTTTGTGGTCATACACATACTGAAGAAGTCACAGGGACAGTGCCCCCAGGTGCCAAGAAACTGCAGCCTCTTGACAGCATGTATGGGAGTTGTCTTAGAAGAACGCGCTCTGACCAGCACTTGAAGCCTGAACGGCTAGACCCCTCCTGAATCTCTGTCCCATAGAAACTGCGATAACGACTGTTTATTGTTTTAGGTTCAGCGTGAGGGTGGACTGTGACAGAGCAGTATATAACCTAACAGACTCGGTAACTGAAGACGCCTCTCTAACCTCACAGGCAAAAGTCACCTTGATTTATTTATCACTTTGTGCATTTCAAAGAAGATCTATGGCCGCGTCTCAAGCCCTAGGAACAGAACAGGGAATGTGCCATTTCAGAAGCTAATTGTCCCCCAGCCTTGTCCATGCAAGGTCCTCCAGGAACAAAATTAATAGGGGAGCATTTAGTGTCTCTCTCATCAAGTGTTACCCATGTCCCTGTTTCATAGCTATCTTTAACAGAAAGAACCTGGGAATCAATACAGGAAAAAAAAAAATTTAAAAAGTCCCCCAGCTAAAAGGCTTCCTGAGGTGTTATACAATACTCCCCTGCTCACAGCCTCCCGCCTCCTCCGCTTCTCACAACACACAGGAGTTTATGGCCTTGGATCTGGCCCAAAATTGTAGATAGCCATCAATCTTGAGAACGTTCATATATCCTGAACAGTGAAACTGTTCATGGTTACGGTGTTTATGGCTCGGGTTTAAATAGGAAGCTAATAAAGATAAAATCTGTTGATAAGGTACTCGGACCTGTCAATGGAAAGTTTCCTGTCGCCTTAACCACACTCCGGCTCCCTCCCTGGGTCCACTTTCAGAAGACACCATTGGGAGGGAGCTAAAACTAACAGAATTAAAATTTGGTTCTCCTAGAACTAATTCCAAGGCAGCAAGTGCTACTTTCAGACAGTATTGAGCGAGCAGATGGGGGCCGGAGCAGCTATTTGCCTGCCTAAGTTCTCTGGGTCGTTTGGACTCTCTGTTCCTTTTGAATGAGCAAGCAGAACCTCCAGGGCCCAAACTGCTCTGGGAGGAGCGTCAGTTGTTGACCTTGGCCTGAGGCAGGGGAACCCTCTAGGATGAAGCCTTCTCTTTGTTCCAGAGGCACAGCCTCTGCCTGGTCAGGCATCTGCTGGGAGGACCTACGCAAACGCGGCCTGGCTTTGTTTCTTAGAAGCCGTATGCGTTTGAGTCTAAAATGGGCTCTAGAGCGCGCACACATCTGCAGTTGATGTTGCCACAGGTGTGGGATGTTGTGGTTTCTAACATCTTACACGTGTTCTCCAAACAGTACCTCGAGTGTCCTTTGGTTTCTGGTCTGAGCGGTTTCCTGCACTTCCGGGAGTGGGTCTCCTGCAGAAAAGCTGCAAAGTATTGCACACACACGCACGCATGCACGCACGCACACACGCACGCACGCACACACACACACACACACACACACACACACGCACGCACGTGCACATACACGCGCACACACACGCAGAAAATGGGGTTGGTGCTGAAAGAAGCTTGCCCCAAGTGTGGGGTGAGGAGCGCGAGGCAGATATCTGTGGGGCTTCCTGACATCCAGGCTCCAGCAGTTTCCCAGCAAAGCCCTCTCTCACCAACAAGGAATGACTCCAGATCCTGGCCCTTGGGCTCTGATATGAACTGAGGAATAGAAATCTGTCTGATTAGAAATAACAAACAGAGAAGGGAAACACCTTTAAAACAAAGGACTGTGCTAGTACCCCATGACCCAAGAAGGGGACGCTGGGAGCTTTTAATGTGACCCCTCTAAATAATAAACCTGGGACTTAATGCTAGGAGCTAAAGATATTACTGGGACGTATCAAATTAATAAATGCCCAGGGCATGAAGCTCAAGATACCAGATAGCCAGGCGGTGCAAACAGGGGCCAGTAAGACTGGTGACCTGAGATCCATTGCTGGAATCCAAGGGAAGGTTGGAGGGGAGAATCAACTCCACAGAGTTGTTCTCTGACCTCTACACACTACACACACACACACACACACACACAGAGAGAGAGAGAGAGAGAGAGAGAGAGAGAGAGAGAGAGAGAGAGAGAGAGAATAACAATAAAAATAAGAAAATCAATCCGGATAAGCCACATGGTTCAGTTGTCAATAGCTTCTAAGTGGTCATTAAATGGGACCATACGTGTCCATACAACTGAAAGTATGTAAACTATTCGGGATTGCAAAGTGGGACAGTGCTGAGTCCTGGGAATGTCCTGAGAGGATCATTATTTTCACAGTGAGATATGATAGATAATATTTAAAAGTGTAAGTTCAAGGATTAGCAGTCAAAGCATGAGATTTAGAAACATGTTTCTACATTAATACATTTTCCACTGCTGTAACTAAATATCTAGAGCCACACAGTTTGGGAGGTGGTGGTGGCGGCGGTGGCGGTGGCGGGAAGAGGTTTTTACAGCTCACAGTTTGAGTCTAAACAGTATGGTAGTTGCTGGAGCAAGAGGGCTTGCCTGTTTGTGCCATATTACAGGGGATGGCATCACGGCAGGAGAGAGATCACACGGTGACACCCACATTACAGGGGATGGCATCACGGCGGGAGAGAGATCACACGGTGACACCCACATTACAGGGGATGGCATCAGGGCAGGAGAGAGAGAGATCACATGGTGACACCCACATTACAGGGGGTGGCATCACGGCAGGAGAGAGATCACATGGTGACACCCACATTACAGGGGGTGGCATCACGGTGGGAGAGAGAGAGATCACATGGTGACACCCACATTACAGGGGATGGCATCAGGGCAGGAGAGAGAGAGAGATCACACGGTGACACCCACATTACAGGGGATGGCATCAGGGCAGGAGAGAGATCACACGGTGACACGGGCTGATTCACTCTTTTATATCAACCTTCTACCAAGTCCTCCCAGAGCTATATCTAGTCCTTCCTAGAGCGGTGACCTCAATAACTGCCTCGCTCGCACTAGGACCTCCCTATCAACAGGTCCACATCCCTCACAACACTGCTACACCGAAGACAGAGCTCTCAACATCTAAACTACGTCCCATCCACAGCAGGATGCAAGTACCAAGATAACCAAGAGATTTGGGGTATATTCATCTTCAGGGGGTGGAAATGGGAGAGGCCAGGGTTCTGTCTTTTCTACAAGCTTTGTACATCCCTCACTACAGGGATGCACGGGTCATTTTGAGAAGAACAGAAACTACAAAAACCATGAGCTCATCACAGGGCCTCCTACCCATTTGTTTTAGTTCTTGCTTGACATGTGATCATCATGATTTTCTCACTCATCACAAAACTTCTTTAGAAGGCCCCAAACTGAGGCTAACTCACTGGCAAGGCAGAAAATTACAGCCCTCAACCTCTTTTCAACAAAAGCACTCTTGAGTACAATTAGAATCTAGTGACTTTCGTTGGCTCTGGAGATAATGAAGGTGGCTATCCCCAAGAAAACCATAAGTTCCACATGTACTAAATTTCAGGAGTGATGTCATTGGGCTTCAACTCTGCAACGAAGCAGGCCATTCCTGCTTAAAACATTAGAGGATTGTTCCTGCAAACCAGCCTCTAGCTTCTTCCATTGTCCTCAAGGTCACCACATGATAACCTTTTCCATGATCCACTTCTGTCTCAAATCAGAAGCTTACTACGCACCTTCTCGTTAAAAGGAATTTTCACGTATTTATTTTTAATCAGGTGATGAGATAATCAATATGTAATGCAAGCCAGTGATGCAGAAATAAACTTCACTTGGCTATTTAGCAGTTCACAGTCCAGACTCACCCTTGACGGAGACACGGCGTGGCCCTGTGCTTGCTCAACCTAATTCGCCAAGGCAAAACTGCGACCTCCCAGGCCCAGCTTCTTCTTCATGTTTACCTTCCCAAGACTCCCCCAACTGTGGACCCTGATGGGCAGCCAGAGCAGAGTGAAAGCACCTGGCTCCTTTGTCCACAAACACAGGGGAAATGAAAAGCAGAAGCTTGGACTGGGATATTTCCAGGGAAACAGAACTAGCCCAGGGAAAATAAGGGCCTCTTCTGCATGTCTGGGGAGAGATGCCAGTCTCTACTGAGTGGTCTCAGACAGGACCACTGTGGGCTCTGGGGTCACAGAGACCAGATCTTGCCTCTGTCCCTATGTCCACATTGAAAATGAAATGTCACTCTCCCAAGAGGAATGAAGTTCAGACTCAGGCCTCAGCTTCCATGGTCTACATTGTTCCTTTTCTTCTGTTCCATCCCTCTGTCTCCTCTCTCTTCTTGGACAGGGTCTCTTTGGGCAGCCCAGGCTAGCCTGGAACTCAGGATCTCCCTGCCTCCATCTCTTGAGTGCTGGGATGACAGGTATAAGCTGCCATACCAGAAAACTTGCATTAAATGCCAAAAGACGGGGAGAAGATTTGGTTTAGCCCTCTCTGTGTGGGGTTTGAACATGGGTTTTTTCCCCTCCTGGATCTGCCAAACAAGTTCCCTTGTCTGAAAGACAGTGTGAGGTTGCTCAATGCTGTTTCTAAAGGACTGAAGTTTGACTTTAGAATCCCTCCCACGGTGGCTGTAAAAGTGAGCCAATTCTTGTTTACCCCTGCCCTCCCAGAACAGGCGCGTTGGGGAACTCACTGGTGCTGAGGAGAGAGGCCTGTATGGGATATTCTGCTGACGTGTAGTGTAATTGAATGTTAACGTTTCACAGCTTCCAGGAAGAAGAAAAAAAACATTTCATTGAGAGTTAACAGCAATGCTGTGGGTCCGTAGTCTCAGAAAGAAAAAAGAAATGAACAGCAGCAGGAGGCTCCCCGGAAGTTCCTGGGCTGCGTCCTGCCGTAGCTGATGGTAACTTGCCCAGAAGACAGCGAACACGCTCAGCGGAGGACACAGAACAGCGTCTACAGTCCCTAGGACGACACAGACACTCAGTTTTGCACAGGAAAAGCTTCTGCTCCCTAGCAGTTAGTGCTTAAACAAAGCCCAGTCACTTGAAGATGGCAGCTTTTACACAGGTGGCCCTCCGCCGGGGACCTTGAGAGGTTAGAGAAGATAAGAGTCTAGAGGAGTCTCCTGACATGGTCCCCCACATCCTCATTTTCATTACTCACTTATCCATTTGTTAACTCACCCAACAAGCATCCATTGCATTCCAGACCCCATTCTAGGACTGTGTCTCCAGCAATGATCAAACAGGCCCCAGTTCCGGCCCACGTCTACTCCACTGGCTTGGACGTGGATAATGTCAATATTGAAGTGTTGTGTTCAGGGGTTATAAGGTCAGGTGGCTCCAGGAGCCGGACTGGGACTCGAAAATCTCAAGATGTTAGGAAACCAGAAAGTGTCTCCAAATGCTTCCAAAAATATAGGAGCATTTTGGTTTGGTTTGGTTTGGTTGTTCGTTTGTGTGATTTGAGACAGGGTCCCAGGTAGCCATGCTAAGCTTACATTCGAATTTTAGCTGATGGTGGCCTTGAACTTGTGATCCCCCGACCCTGCATCCAAGTGCTGCAATAACAGTCGAACACTATTGCACTTAGTTTCTGTGATGCTGAGGATCCAACCCAGGGCTCCGTGCATGCTAGGGCTGTCGAGTGAACTATAGACACACCCACCAAAACTGTTTTGTTTTCAGAACACTATATAGTCTAAACAAAACACCTCTGGGCTCCAAGGGCCTCCCATGGCTGCTGTTCAACTCCCAAATATCCTCAGATCAGAAAAATCAAGGCCCTTAAAAAATGCAGGCCAAGCCGGGCGTGGTGGCGCACGCCTTTAATCCCAGCACTCGGGAGGCAGAGCCAGGCGGATCTTTGTGAGTTCGAGGCCAGCCTGGGCTACCAAGTGAGCTCCAGGAAAGGCGCAAAGCTACACAGAGAAACCCTGTCT